CGCTGATACCAGATAATTAAATCATGGCTGATAAGTCATGAGCTGGAGGATGAGCGAGGTCATCTCCAACAATAACTACCAGCATTCTACGCAAGATCCTATCCTCTAAGTTTCGGTAGCATACGAAAAGTGTCTAGAAAATGCCATCATCGCATGACAATTGTTGTAACAAAGTTACACGTACCCTGGTCTTTCTTGATATTATGGCGCGTTGTACTGGGTAGCACTGATTGGCTTATCATAGAGAAATATTCTTCCACCTTTCTCGATTGCTTACATCTCTGAAGAACTTGAAGAGTTATTTAGTAAGAGGAAGACCGAGTACTTGGCAAGCAATGCGGCCGAATATATCTTTATCGCGGATGGCTTTCTTGAGTTTATCTGAAAATAGCAACGGGTCGACCGTTCTGATGCATTCTGATATTTAGTGATTATAATCGCAGTTATCTGCAGTCAGTGTAGTTGTTTCCAATTGACAACGTCTTGAAGTCAGCTACACTGGATATGCACAAGTGCTTCTCGACGTTGAGCCTTGTGTGACGCTGATAGAGTTGCTGTTTGCGCTGCACCTGGAGAGCAAGCTTATATCTGCCCTGCGCTGATGACACACGGCATGTTTGTATAATTTGACGTTGATATAGCATTGCTTGCAGTCATCCAGAAGGTGTTTGTTCAAACTCCCTATGTGGCTAAGTTGAATGCGTGTCAATATTTTAGTTACTATACATAGATGTCGCAAGATGGTGCAACCACCATAATCTAAATGTATACCCGGCAGGAGCCGAAGCTACCCTTGTGCTCCGACCTTAGCATTAACACTGTATACAGATTGCTGTGCCAATGCAAAGAAAGTAATAGTTTTGTCACAATTAATGCTTTAGTCAATTTTTTGTGTGAAGCCACAAAGTCAAGTAAGATTTCTAGCGGGAAAGCATACTAATGCGGTCGCAGAACATCAGAAATGCTTATAATGTCTATAATTTAATTAGGGAGAATAAAAAAATGCCCCAACTTTTGCCATAAATAAA